GCCTATTGATGTTGCACTCTCACATCAATGTTTCACTCTTCCCCCTCTCTTCTTCCTCTCTCTCTAAAAAATCAAAACTATTCTTTAAAAAAAAAAAAACAAAACAAATTTCCAGTTAAGAGAAGAATGAGTAAATGAGCACTTCTCATTACAAACTGCCTTCTATTGAGAGTTAAGAGTTTGTGTCCTGTCTTTGGCATTCCAGCCTCCCAGGCAGAAACTAACTTCCTAGGTGAGGCCATAGCACTTCAGGTAAGAAGGTGCAAAGGAAGCAAGGGTTCTTTTCATTAGCAAATGCAAAGATCCTGGCAAGAAGCTCTCTCTAGCCTGTGTGTGAAATTATGTTGTATTTAAATGAGAAAGAATTGTGGGCCCCATAGAATGTATTGGGTCCTTTTCCCCCAACTTCTGTAATCTTTTAGGAACACCTTCTTTTTGGGGTGTATTCACATTTCAAATGTCCTCTTGACATTAATAAGTGCTGTAATGGCTCTATTTTATTTAATATAGACAGCAGCCACCTACTCTGAGTCAGGTGCTGGATTAACCACGGTGGATGTATCAGTGAGCAGTGGAGAAAACCTTTATCATAATGGAACAGATAGTCTTGCTAGATTAAAAGCATCTCATTTTTATTTCAAGGCCTGGAATCTGAATTTTAGTTTCAAGAAATTTCCAGGTGGCCTGTCCACTCCTTAACCAGGTGAGGAAGGGGAAAGCCCCATGGCTAAGGCAGGTTCTCCCCAGGTCAGAAACTCTGGCCTCTGGCTCATCTGCTTCCTGCCCACCCTTCTTCCATTTTATTGCTTTGAAGCTTTTCTTATTCTGCTCCCCCTCCCTCAGGTCTTCTAGTTGTTATCTTTTTTTTTTTTTATCTGCTCAAGGTTTCTTAGATGTCTATTATCTGATTTAGGTGCAAACATTGATCATCTCATTTTCTGACCTAATTTTTTTCATCGTCTGCTTCTTCCTTTTGCCTGATCACACACGTGGCAGATCTGTGTGTTCTGAGAGGTTAATTGTGGTCCTAAATGTTGTGAAGACCTGGGAAAGGAGAGCAGTCTGCAGTGACCCTCCCAGACCTTCCAAACAAAAGCACTGGTCTTTAGCTCCTTAAAGATAGCTGGGCTCGTCCAAGGGCAAGGAGGGCCAGCAGACACAGCCCTGCTTCTCAGACACCCCTAGACTGGAAAACATCCTTTGGGGGTAAAAACGAGGACATGAAAATGCTTGCTGTGGCACCTAGCATTCTGTTAAAGACAGTGAAAACACAGTCTGTCATCCTTGACATTTTAATTGAAAGAAAAGCTTACATAGATTTCAGCCGTAAGCATTATGTTTATACAAGTGTATAAAGAGGAATCATCTGTCACATTGGAAAACTCTCAATGCTACGGGACTCCGTTTAGTAATTGAACAATCCAACATGAGCTCACACATCTTACCTTGTTCCATGCCTCAATAATTTTTAGTAGAAATGCTTTACCTAGAGGCATATGGTTATTAAAAAGGAGGCTCGGCTTGCTCAAAGTCTGGAATTATTAGTTCATGGCAACAAGCCTGCACTGGAGAGAGACTGTCGGGCCTTTGTTTTCACAACTTTACTGCAATTTGCCGTCTTATTTTCAGAGTCTCTAACGCATGTGTTGTTTGGGAAGTTTGTTGGTTTTTTTCTTTTTAAAGGGAAAAAACATAATTTCCCATGGATGAGTGACTTCTCATATTAGCAGTATTGCAGAACTTTACTACTTCATTACAAAGTCCAGGGAGCAGGGTGAATATTAAAGGAAATGGACTGTGGATTTATTTTAGTATAAAAAAATCAATAATAACTTTGTTACGGGATCCATCAGGGTGTGGTGGAGGAAATACTCTGTTGCAAAGTTGGATAGAAATCCTGCTTCTTTTCATAACCCATCTGACCTTGGGCAGATGTAAATGTTTTGGAATTCAGCTTACCCCTGAGAAAATGGGAGTAATATGCCCTATCTACCACACTGCATTGTTGCAAGTCACATGAAGGTGAAGATATTTTGAAAAACATGAAATAGTTTATAAGTGCAATATAAAAAGTTTTATGCCAGTGCAAGGTATTAAATAATTATTTCTATATAGACAAGGGGAATTAATTAATGCAATTGTTCTCTTACCACTCTTGCTTCAGTGATCTGACTATTCTGGACAAATGATTATTTCCTGGGCCAAGCTACACAATTGCTTCAGTCTAGTCCTTTGTATACCCTGTGATGGATAGACATAGATTTTTTTTATTCCTTTCAGCTTTTGTAGTTTAAAAAGCCAAGGCAAGAAGCCTAGAAAACTCCATCGGTTTTGTAGGTGAGGATGGAGAAATTATTTATAGAATAATTCAAAATCATTTAGAATCCAAGCATACAGCGTTCTCAAATAACCATTCTCCCCTTCAAGTATATGTTGCTAATTGGTCTGATTGGCATCATTAGGTAGTTATTATTTTAATCCCAAGAGAACCCAGTACCTTGAAAGCCTTAATTAATGAAGGAATACTTGATATTTTAAAACCGAGTAGATTTATGCATGTGTGGAAATTACTGACCTAATAAGAACATTGCATTGAATGAAACATACCATTCCCCAATTATTCTATACCACTGGGAGTTTCCCATAGTCTTGGGAAGAATGAAAACTTGTTTTAAATTTAATTACTTCAGCATCTCCATTTGAATTACTATTAAGTTGTTTAATTGATTTCTTTTTAAAAAGAAAACATCAATGAAAACTTATAACCAGATTTCTATTAATATGTTGAGAATAAAATGGAAATGGTGATAGTATATATATATATATTGCCCTTTGTTCGTGAGGATGATATTGCCAATCAACATAATAAAAAATTTTAGTTGACTTTCCTATAATAGTTTTTGCTTTTCCTTAACTGTCTATAATGGAAGTATTATTCCCTCTGTGACTAGGGAAACAGACATATGGTAAAAAGTCTACATACATGTATGTAATGCATGTAGAGATGTATATATATGCACATCTATCTATCTGGTTGGATATATAGGTCTATAGGTGAAAGGGTGAGTGGATGGATGAATAATTAGCTATCTGTAGGAATACTCTCAATCTTTCTCATGAAACTGGGGAGTTCAGGTTATTAATTTTATCTTTAAAGGAACTGAAAATTATTCAGCATGATATAGTTTTATACAGCTATTTTATTTTCAGTAAATGTCTCAAACGAAACATTAAGATGAGAATATAAATGAGCACTGTCTGTTGATTGAGCCACATGGTACACCTCTCTGATTCCATGTAGCTACCTCTGAATGAGATAAGACTTGGGGAAGTTACACCTGCTGGCAAATTCCGGAGCACTTGAAACCCGGAGTTTCCAGGAACTAGAAAAGCTGACGGGCCTTCAGAGGCCCTCCTAGGCCTTACTGTTAATCCATACTCCAGAGGTCCCCAGGGCACATGGCAAGGAATAGCCAAGCACTCCATGTGCTTTTCTGAAAACACCCATCTCGTTGTTACAAACTACTTACATGTAACGACTCACACACATTCTATTTTTAAAAACTGGGTGTAATCTCTGTATATCTACACAAACAGTGTAAAGGCTTTATATTCTTTTCTATTTTCATTTATACAACTTCCTAAACATATCAATATAGACTAATTTATGACTCATCCTTTTATAATGTGTGAGACACTGATAGCTCGCTGTGTTTTCAAAGGAGCTATCAGGCAAAAGTGGATTTTCTCTGGAATTCTGACAGGCTTGCGAAGACAGAGCGTGTTGGCCTCTTCCCATTTCAGTCTCCCAGTTCTCCACGAATCACCCACAGGAGGTGAATGAGCCCCAGAGAGGAGGCACCACGCCGCTCGGAGGGTCTCTGGACAGGGCTCATTCCCTGAAGCGCAGTCCTGCACAGACCGTCTGTGGCCTACACAGACTGTCTCTGTCTGCAAGTTTAACATGAGGACTTTTTATTTTTTGAAAACAAATGTATTCATTTTGTTAGCAATAGTTTCTATCGTGGCATTCAGGGTCCTGAGGCGGGTTTGTTTACTTGTTTGTTGTTAAGTCTTTGACTTCATGGTCTGACATTTATACAACTCCCCAGAGCAAGGGCATCAGGCAGGTCACTTGTTTGCCATTTTTAATAAACACAAATAATTCCCTTTTTACCCTCAGCCCCATATTCCCTGGCTCATTAATTTAAGGCCCTTAAAATATTTTCTGGCAAATTAAATCAAAAGCTCAAACTATGTACTCCCCCGAGGAAAGTGTGCTTGCCCAAGTCCTGCAGGTCAGGTCAAAATCAGTTTCTGTCAAACAGCCTCACACCTCGAGTTATTATGAAACGAGGGGTTGGAAATTGGGGGCTGGGCTCCAGACTTGTCCCACTACAGTGGCCTGAACACAACCCGACTGCTTTCATTTGTGTCCTGGATTTTGTTTTTTGTTCCACTCACAGTGGAGAACAGTGAAAAAGTCAAAATAGATTTCTATTGGGAATTCATGAATGAAGCTGGCTCTGCAAATCCAGACAGTACAAATGTATCCAGAGCCAAGCCAGGAGGGCTTCCAGGCAGAGGTGTATGAGAGTGTGGACAAAACACATGCACACACATCTCTGGTTTTAAAGTCCTCCAGAGGACAGAGACTTCCTAGTCACTGCAGGATTTTACCACTGAGTCTCCATGATAAGATGCAGGGGTTAGAAGATTTATCAACTTGTTGTCTATTGAACATCAGTTAGATAACAGAGGTCAGGAAATGAAGTAGAATTTGATGTATTAGCTAGGAAGCAGCAAAGGAAGCCAGACTTGTGTTTTATTTGTTATTATTTCCCTAATATCCTCAATTATGTGGCTCCCACCAGAAGAGTTGATCTGCTTTGCATATAATGGTGTTGCCCCCGCTGGTTCTGGTCCCGAGGAAACTGGCAGTGAATCCCCTGCCCAGGGCATCAGGAATAATATCTGCTTCTCTCGTTCCTTGTCCCCAGGCCTGTTCCAGGCTCTCTATCTTCTCTGCTACACATCCACAACAGACAGAGACAGCCCATGCCAGCCTCCATGCCCGGGACCCTGCCCAACCCTACGATGCCGGGATCTTCTGCTGTCCTGATGCCAGTAAGTGCTCCTCACTTCCTCCCAGTCTTGCCCCATTTGAAAAAGGAAGGGAAACTGAGCTTCTGGCTGCCTGGGGAGAAAGTGGCCGCTGGATAGAGAGCTGAGCTGTGTGCAAGTGGCTTTGAGGGTCTGCTTGTCCGTCCCAAGCGTCTTGCTGGCTTTCCTGTTCCTCAGTGCTTCCCTGGTGAGGCACAGGCTCACCTCCCTACTGGTGACAAGTGACCTTGCCACAGCCAGGGAACGGGATTTGTTCAGAGACATGTTTTATGACTACTCCACAGTCTAACTTGGGCTATTTACAGAGGGTCCTTAAACTGACAGCGAGTGGTCTGCCGGGGCTCAGAGTAACAATAATGCCAACAATAACGATGGTGCTACATATAATTCTAACATGTAGTCATGCATGCCATGCTCTCTTAATTATTCTCACAGCATTTGTTGAGTGCTTCTCATGTGCTAGTTATCTCTAGGCACTTTATCAACACATGAAACAATCCTAGGAGGTAGGTACTAATCCTTCCCCATTTTTTGAATGAGTGAAGGTACCTTGCTTGTCTGAGAAACAGAGCAGCTGAGTTTTGAACCCAGGCATTCTTGCTCCAGAGCTCACTCTTAACATCTACACGATATGTATGTTCCCTCCATTCTCACAACAATCCTATGAGGTATGCACTGTTCTTATCCCCATTTTATAGATGAGGAAACCGAATAACTTGGCTAAGATCACAGAGCCAGTAGGTGATGGAGTTAGGATTGAAATTCAGGTAGTCTGACTGCCACGTCTACACTCATCACCATTATATTTTCCTGCTCCTCTTTGAAAACAACAGATGGACATAGATGGGAGACACAGATTATTCCAGAGCGAACCATGCTCTCCTTCCGTGGGATCCTCTGCCTGTTCTTCTTCATCCTCCCTGGCATTCTGCATTGGTGGACATTTGGTGGCTGGTGTTAGTCACAGGGCCACAAGGATTCTCAAAAACCCTAGAGTGGTGTGACGATTCTATTAAAGCCCTCCCACACCGGTATCAGCAGTGCCTTGCAGAGTATTTTAAAGAATTGTCTACCTTTGTTATTTCATTTTGCTGTCACAGCAATCCTGTGGGAATGCTGACGCTCATTTTACAAATGTAAAGCTAATCGCCCAATGTCACGCAGCTTGTGAATGGAGAGTTGTGACTGGAACCCAAATCTAAACTCACACTGAGCAGCTCGGCTCTGGCAGGTTGAGCAGTTTGCTCATTTATCCGAGTGGGAAGAGAATGAGGAGGGCCTGGGGGCCTGGTGCCCCAGTTTAGAGAAAGGGACTTGCCCACTGCATATATCGGGTAGTTCAGGCTAGAAACAGTCTTTGCAAAATTGGGTCAGATGAGCTGGCTGACTTCACCTGTGTTCCTCAATGTAAACATCTTTCGATGAAACAAAACAGCACCAACAATGTCATTAACCCAGGTTTTATTCAACCCAACTAATTGCATGAAGACATCCACCATATGCCATCTCCATTTAGGCTCTAAATTCCTCTCAGAAAGGAATTAGTCTCCTCTCAGAAAGTTGATGCGTTGTTCAAAAAATATCACTGAGTGACCTTTCTTCCATTTGATTCAAGTGTGTACCAGTCTCAGGGACAAATGTGGGACACTTGGGTTGAAAGGGCCCAGAAAAAGGTACCTAGCACCTGTTTCCTGCCTCTCTTTGTTGGGTCGCATCACTTCATTGTACAATTTGACCTCCTGGTGATGCTTCAGAATAGAAACGAAGAATCATGTGCATGGTGCAGAGTCAGTGTAGATAGAAATCAGGGATGCTTCCTGCACAGGAGTTCCCAACCCCGTGTCAGGGACAGGTAGCAGCTGCCACGACAATAGTGTCAGTCCAGAGCAGTGATGCTTAGCCAGGGATGATTTGGCTTCCTGAGAACATTGGGCAGCATCTGGAAATACTGTGGATTGTCACAACTGGGGCGGGGGGATGGGGGAAGTGACTGGCATCTAGTGGGTGGAGGCCAGGGATGCTGTTAAATATTCTACAATGCACAGAACAGCCACCACAACAAATTATTATTTTGCTCAAATTGTAAATAGTGCTGAGGTTGAGAAATTGAGGTCGAAAGTGACATAGATGTAACTAACGGAAATTCATATAAAAGCTCTAAAAAAGTATACCCTAAAAGTTACAGGACCTAGAAATCTGGGTCTTTTCTTCCATGTTATCAAGTCACCAGCTCTGATGCTATAATGCTGGCATTTTGAGCATCATCTTCTAGAGTTCCTGCCACAGAAAACCACTATTTCCGGGTATAAAAAAGGTCTGTGTCTGCAGGTGCAGATGAGACCTTTAACTAATTGGTAGCATATGCTACTATGCCACACATTTCACAGAGCCTTGGGTCTGAAACAAAATGATGTGCTTGTTCATTCACTCATTCCACAAACTTTTGTTGAGCACTTTCTATGGGCCAACTACCATGGTAGATTCTAGGATGGGGTGAGGAACAAGGCAGGCATTGCCTTTAAGGAGCTCACTGGGTTGTGATATTCTATCTTCAAAGTTACATGCTTAAATAATTTGGGGATATGAACATCCATTTATTATTACAAAAGCCCCCTGAAGTGCCAGGTATCTTAGCTTCCGTTCTCCAGTGTATTTACAAGGAGAAAAAAAAAGCTAAAAAAAAAAAAGTGAGCCCTAATCGGTTTGGCTCAGTGGATAGAGCATCGGCCTGCAGACTGAAAGGTCCCAGTTTCCAGTCAAGGGCATGTACCTTGGTTGTGGGAAGATCCCTAGTAGGAAGTGTGCAGGAGGCAGCTGATCGATGTTTCTCTCTCATTGATGTTTCTAACTCTCTATCCCTCTCCCTTCCTCTCTGTAAAAAAATAAATAAAATATATATATTTTTAAAAAGGTGAATTCTTTAACCTGGATGTTTTACGGACAATGCAAAGCCTCCCCCATCTTCTGACCCCTTGTTCTAGTCAACTCCTCAAAGCCACAGGCTCGGTGCAGAGCCTTATTAGTGAGCACCGAAGAGTTGTTTTGAAGAGACTGCTCCTGACCCTATAATCATTGAGAGGGAAATATGCAATTCTTTTTTAGATAGAGAAGTCAGCCTGTTCTCAAAATTCTGTTTAATTTGTGAGTCACGGGGTAGAAATAGTCATAGACTATAATTTTTCCAAAAAGTGGGAAGCACGGTGGATTGGGGATCCAGATGCTGAAACCGGCTGCTCTGAGGTTTGTAGTGCATGAGGGCTAGCAGCATGGGAACATCTGACCGTCACCTGTACTTCCGGACGTTCCAAAGATCTCCTTGGGAAAACTGAGGGCAAAAACTGAGTTGGGCTTGATTTCTCTCTAGGAGAAGGTCATCTACTGGAAAAAGGGGTGAAATGCTACTTGACTGTCCTGTTCCCCAGCCTCTGGAAGTGGGAGTTATCAGTAATAAGCATTTTTCCAGAACAATCTTCATGATGAAAGGATTAGAGAACACACACACACACATACACACACACACACACGAATTAGAGTGCACAAATGTAGTTAATGGCACTGAACTGTACACTTAAAAATTGTTAAAATGGAAATTCTTATTTTACCATGATTTTTAAAAATTACCTTTTTAAAATCTTTTTTAAAATATATTTCTATTAATTTTTTTTTTTTTTAGAGAGAGAGGAAGAGAAAAGGAGAGAGAGAGAGAGAAGCATTGATGAGAGAGAACATCTATTGGCTGCCTCCTGCACACCCCTCACCAGGGATAGAGCCCGCAACCCAGACATGTGCCCTCACCAGGAATTGAACCACAACCTCTTGATGCATGGGTTGACACTCAACCACTGAGCCACACCAGCTGGGCTAAAAAAATAATTTGGGGTGATATGAGTTTAAATATTTTATTTTACTGAATTGGTAAAGCCTCAAAAGGTTTTGCAGGTGTGCTCTAGAACATCTAGGGAATTCTTTCAGTAGCTCCTTTTGGAACAGTTTGACATATCCACACACTGTTGATACAGATGAACTAATTCAGGCTAAGGTAAGGCTGGTGGTGTTGCAGTGAGGGGCGTGTCAACCAGGCATCCAGGAGAAGCTGAGCAGCACCTCTGCTAATCCACACATCAGTGTCATAGCCACGCCCTGCCCCAGGAGTGGGCACAACAGGAATTGCAGTCACAGAACCTCAACAATGGAAAGGACATTAAAGGGTCATTTAGTTCAACTATCGCTTTCAACTCTCCTCTGTGAGCTTTCCTTCAGTGAGAAGGAGCTCTGTATTTCCCAAAGACTACCTAGGCTAACTTTGAGCAGAAACCTGGTTCCCTAAAATTTCCGACCATTGTTTTCATTTCCATCTTTTAACAAATGGAAAAACTCTTGCATTGAAAATCCCCCTAGGAACGTCTCATTATTTTCTGTGATTTCAGTATAAAGTAGAGGTTGAGGCAAAAGTAGGTTTACAGTTCTTTGTATGGAAAATAATGCAATAATTAATAAATAATACAAGAATAAACTTTTTTTATGTACTCACAACTATAAATCTACTTTTGCCCAAACTTGTATATTTGCTTTATTTTGGTTCTCTGAAAGGGGCTAATTTTCTGCTAAACAGAAAATATTCATCAGACACATTCTCCCATGACTGAAATAGAGATCTTGCTATATTTACTTTTTAGCAGGAACACCCTGGAGACAAAAATGCCAGAATTTAATGCAGCTCTTTGAATGATACTGATACTACACACCATAGCGGGTTAGCAGGACAATGTGGGATTGGTGGATCATGTCATCAAAACCCTCCACTGCCTTCTTCTCCTACCCACAGGCCCGGTCCCACCCTGAGGCCTGAGACTGCAGCTGTGTAGTCATGAGGAGGTTAACGGGGAGGAAGACATGTGCTGGAGGCAGAGGATCAAATACCTGGCTGGGTCCTTTCAGTTGTGTTTATGAGCAAGAACGACAGGCAGACCCACCAGAGATGCTTTCAAAATTAATTTTATTTTTTCTTATTGCTAAAATGATTCATGTTTCTGTATGAAATTTAGGGATGGCGGGAAAAACCACAGATAACCTGAGATAACCATTTGGTATATTATATATCCTTCCAGCATTTTTCTATGCATATGTTATTCTTCATATCTATAAAAATCAGTATAATTCGTGGCAGTTGGAGGGTTTGCAAAAGTGAAAATATTCCATACTTTTGTTTGGAAATGATCTAATGACAAGGTAGTTCTGTTTGGCTTGGGGCATCTTCTATAGAAGGTGTAGCTTTGGGTGATTCTTTGATGTGGTTGGGTTCAAGGCTCAGGAGTGCATTGCTTACCCTTCACCAAACCACAGACTTTCTCCGCAGTTATTCAAAGAAACTAGACACGATTCATTTGAAAGAAAAATGCAGCTTTGTCTAAGGCCTAGACGGCCTCCTCAGCCTCTTGACTCTGTTGCTTTCCTTTGTCTTAGATGGAGAGACAAATGTCAGTGAACTCCAACCTCCTGGGAATGCAGGGTCCAAATCTCAGCAACCCCTGTGCTTCTCCCCAAGTCCAGCCGATGCACTCCGAAGCCAAAATGGTAAATAACACGTATAATCACCCTTTTGTTATTGCATGATGTTTTTCTTTTGATTCTTACTCTGGCTTCCACATTTCAGTCAAGTCAGGTAGACGGCTCCGTCTTTGTTGTGGTAAATAGGTCTTTCTGTGCAAAGGTTGTGTGCAGAGCTTGGCTCTTTCTTGGAGGGTGTTAGTTACTGAACCTGGAAGTAGATGATCATGTGTTGAGCATTAGATCAGCGTGTGGGCTTAGTGAAAGAGATATGGAGAAGTTTGGGGGGATCCATAGCAGTTAAGTGGGATACACCTAAGTATGTGTGTATTTACTCATAACCTGAAATTAAAACTAATCCCGTGTTTCTCTTCTTCAAGGTGGTAACAGTTTCAGTGCCTCTCACCCTGTCCCCATACCCATTTATCCATGCATGTTATTTCTAAGCACACACTATGATGGGAATATTTTGCATTTTTTGTTATAGTTGTCAGATGTGACGTTGATTGGAGAGGATCAGTGCAGAGTAACTGAAGCACATGATTTCAGGTGACAGCCTTCAGTGACTTTTAACATATGAGACTTATGTGCAGTAAGGTCAGTCTTTCCAATCCCAGTGCTAGATTCATGCATTTATGTTCTAAATATTAATAAAAAGCAACGCATGTTCAACTTGGCAATATAAAGTAAATTTGCTGGTTTTGTCTAGTGAAGTTGCTTGAAGTAGGTCATTCAACCCTTGTTCAAATTTTAACACCACAATTAGTAAGCTATCCGATGACAATAAAAGGTTTGACTATCTCTTGCTAATGGGTCCTTTTGTGAGAAGTTGGAGATTTATTTGGTTTGCTGACTGACAGCGTTAGGGACCTGGTTTGAGGCTGGTATGAGGATGCTCTTGACAGTTCTGAAAATTAGCTATCAAAACCCAGTGAGTTCATTTTCAATGGCAGCAAGTTTTTTGGTTTTTTTTAAATGTCTTCTTCGGTCATTTTCTCTTGGAAACTTCACTCATTTGACTTGCAGCTTCTTGACCCAAGGAAGCGATGGAACTCCCAGTGTTGGCTACCTCCGGCAAATAAAATCTGTGGTCAAGAAGTTCTCTTTGCTGTGCCACAGTCCATGTGACATGCCAAATGGCACCGGCATCTTCAGCAAAGCTCGTTAAATCTTTTTGGAATCGGCAAATATTTTTTCAACTCAAGCCCTGCAGAGCCAAACCAAATACTTGCTGGCAGAGTATAGTTCAAACTGGCATCAGTTTTGGAGACCAGAGTAATGCCATTTACTTTTTTTTTTTTTAAGGAAAATAAAAAATGAACTGTGAAGGTACTTAAGAAAAAGTTAGGTTATTCATGTGTATGAAGATGTGTTCTGGGTCTGAGCATCCTACGCCCCTCCCGCAGCTGGATTATTTCTGAATCTTCTTGTTTGGTTCAGGTCTGAATGCTTTTAGAGGGACCTCCCAGACAAACTTGAGGTGGATTCTCAAACATAAGTCCAAACCAAATTTCCCTGCCAATTGATTTTCACTGGGTTTTATGCTACCACTTGACTCAAAGTGTCCTGCCCTTTTCCTTGCTGGCAAAAAAGTAAAATGCTTCCAAAGGGAGTACGGGCTTGTGATTACTTATGCATATGAAATAAAAGCATATGGTATGGCAAATTAATAGTGATAGTATCAGCTGGCGACAAAGGGAATTGGTCTGTACTTATAAAAATAGTGTTACCCCACAAATGTTTGTACAGTTTAATTTACTGAGCAAGCGCACTCCTCTGGTGATTCACATTCTAAGTGAATAAATATTTCCAGATCCATGATATTTAGGCAAATGAATTCTCTGATGGAGTTGGGGGCTTAGGGAACACAGCTATTCTCTCTACCCCAAGTTCCATGCCTAATCCCATTATTGCCAATATGTTAACCCAGGGGGAAATGGTAGCATTTGCCACTTTTATATTGGAAGAATAGCATTTACTTAGTAGCTTGCAAAATTGTTAAGTAAGTGACTTCTAATATATTACTCAGCATCTCTATTCTTATTCTGCCTGCATTATTCACTGGTGAAACCAGTGCTTGCCATCTACTAACATTACAGTATTTTCTAGCAGCTTTGGTTACTTAGATGAAAGCTTTTATGGAAAACAAAGTAGTGAAGAAAAAAAAATCGATGATTTTCATGTCAGCCAGAGCCTCCCCAGGTTTCTCAGAACTATAGGCTTTGTTGTTCTATGCCTAATTTTCTTCCTGTGTAAGACTGGAATGAATTCCAGATTTCAGCTAAGACTCTTGTTTCACTGTTTTCAAGGACTTTTCCAAAGGTCACACATGGGCTATTTTGATGAATGCACTCTGGGGGGCAGGGGGGTGTTTTTGGAGCACAGGAGAGAAACCAGAGAGGCTTCTCCCACACCCAGCACTACAGATCTATTCTGCTGGGGACAGTGGTGTTCATTTCGCACTCCTTGTTGGCCACTGACAAAAGCCATCATCCTGAATCTCTGGTGAAACTTGGAGGTTCTGGAGGTAGACAAGAGCTTAAGACGGCTTTGTTTTAAATGCACAAGTTTGCTAGAAGCTATCTGGCTAGTGATTGCTTAATAGAATACAGCCACTCTCCTTGCCCCAAATCGGTCATTTCCATTGTGGGAGAGCAAAATCGGTGTCCCCAGTAATCTGGAAATCCTAAATCAAGAAACATACATCTCCTTCTTTTGACTAATGTACATTAGTACCAAGCAGTGACTTCAGTGTACTGTAGCCACATCTGTGCTGGTCATATCATAATTCTAGCAGATTATAATTTAGTTTTATGGATTGTTGTTCAGAAGAATTAAGCCAACTGACATATGGCTTCATAATTACACAAGTGGATCCATGCATATTGGACTTTGTTTGGGGGTCAGAACAAATTCAAATTTGTGAGTGCCTTCTATCTTTCCAACCACCCAAAACAGCAGGTTCTTCCTCCCAGGTTCCTGGGATCAGTGAGTGTCTGCTGGAAAGGAAATTCACATGATACCTCGTGGACATTTTGAACACCCAAAGAGGAAAGTGAGGGAGAGAGGGAGGTACACATAGAGAAATGAAAAAGGAAAAGAAGGAAACATGGGTGCTATCCCCATTTTACAGGTGGGCTAGCTGAGGCTCCATGCAGTTAAAAACTGGCCCACAACACATCACTTAGCAAAGGCTAATGTCTCGGACTCTAATGGCAAAGCTTTTCAACACATTTATCCTTTAGACAAAAATGTCATAAAGCTTCCAGATATCAGTAACCAACAGATTAAATCACATTCTTTAGGGTTAATTTATATTTATATACAAACTAGAGGCCCGGTGCATGAAAATTCGTGCACTGAAGGGGGTTCCTCAGCCCAGCCTGCCCCCTCTCACAATCCGGGAGCCCTCAGGGGATGTCCTACTGATGGCTTAGGCCCCCTCCCCACAGGGAACGGACCTAAGCCACAGTCTGGCCTCCCTCTGCAGGAGGCAACCAGGTGATCAGGGGAAGGCACTGCCCCCATCACCCTGCTGCTGCTGCCACTGCCAGCTGCTGCAGCTGCTGGCCCCCCTTGGCCCTCGCAGCTACTGTGGCTTTGTCTGGAAGGACGTCTGAAAGACATCCGATCTATCCAGTCTAATTAGCATATTACCCTTTTATTAGTATAGATGGGAGACACGGATGGCAAGGATAGTGCAGGCTAGCAGATAACCTGGAAAGGATGAGGAGCAGTTGGTGATGTGGAACTTCCCCCTTGGTTAAAACAGAGCTCTGTGGCCTCACTAACTGGTCTAGCTTTTTTTCTTTTTTCTCCAAACACGTTTTTGTTTGTTTGTTAATCCTCACCTGAGGATATTTTTTCCATTGATTTTAGAGAGAGTGAAAGGTAGGGGATTAGACAAAGAAAAACATCAATATGAGAGAGACTCATCAATTGGTTGCCTCCCGCATGCACCCCTACCAGGGCCAGGGATCAAGTCTGCAACTGAGGTATATGCCGTTAATCCGAATCAAACCTGTGACTCTTCAGTCCTAGGGCTGACACTCTATCCACTGAGCCAAACTGGCCAGGGCACCAAACACATTTTATCTTGATGTTTCTTGTTTTCCACTTGACTGATTAGAAACTCTTTGAAGGTAATTCCTGCATCATGTAAGCTCCATGTACTGAGAAAGGCCCTATGAATGAAAACTGAACTTAATTGAGTTGAGTTGGATTTAAATTATGGGAAAGAACCAAACCCTAAACATGGAAATAGGGTAGGATAGAGTGGGTAGGGAGCAAGGGTGGAACTGAGAAGGAGAGAGTCAAAGTAGATAAACGCTAAGTTAAGTAATTAGTAGGTAAAGAGTAGCTGACACCCAGCCTGCGTGGGTCAGTGGTTGAGCGTTGATCTACGAGCCGGAGGTCATGATTCTATTCTCGGTCAGGGTACATGCCTAAGTTGTGGGCTCGATCCCCTTAGGCAGCAGATCGAGGATTCTCTCTTATCATTGATGTTTCTGTCTCTTTTCCTCCTGAAATCAATAAAAAAATATTTTTAAAAAGAGTAGCTGACTACATTTGTTTTCTTTGAAAGATATCTAGAAACAGCATATTATTTCCTTGAGAGAAAAGCAATATGTCTGTTTCTTAGAAAATAGACATTGAAATATCATTGCCCTCCTAGGAACTGAGAGCAATCGATGTGCTGTTTCTTCCATTGTGATGGACTGGTTGTCCTGTATTTTGGTCATCGACTGTCAATACTTCATTCACAGCTAGGTTTACAGTTCATTGAATGCATACATAAATATATGTATTAATGACTAAATGAAAGAAACCCGAAAGATTGGAGAGTCAGGGATTTATTTAAAATCTTCTTTTATTCTTAATTGTTTAATGTATTACATAAGTCTCCTTTTCCCCCCATTGACCTCTCCCCGGCCACCCCCAACCCCCAGTACATTCCCTCATCTCTCCCCCCCCCAGCCCCCCACTCCCATCTGTGTCCATTGGTTATGCTCATATGCGTGCATATA